CCTTAGCTTTACAGTAAAAGGTGGGTTAACCAAGACCTGTCTATCTGCTCCCATCACAGAAATGTCAAGATCTTAAAGCATGTCTTTGAAAAGTCTGGGAAGGCTATCTATGCACATCTATTAGTCAAGCTCTGAGCTTGGTCCCTTGACTGGAAGCTCATTCATGGGCTCATCCAAGTCTACACAATGGGGCAAAGCCTTAGTCTTACAATCCTTTTCCTAAGCAGCCCTTTTTCCCTTTTAAGGAGGAGGCTTCTATGATTAGGTAATTGAATCAGGAAGGGGCAGACACATGTCAAGCCCCTAGGACATCCTTCTCACATTGCCTCGCTCTTCCTAGGATTCCTCTAACACCCAGATGAAGAGAGAGCTACACAAAGGAGCAGACACAAAGCAAGGTAGATCATCCCCAGCTCTGCTCTGCAAAGACAGTGTAAAAACAAGGACAGCAGGATCTGCAGCTGGGGTGCAACCTGTGCCTATTTAGGTTTCCTGGCGAGGAGCGTGGGGGGTGGGGGGAGCTGAAGTTAGCAGACTGAGCACTTGTCCACGGTCAGGCTGGGTGGATTCCATTTGTCTGCTATCTACCAAGTCTCAAGTGAAATGTATCATAGCCACCATTCTCACTGATCCACAAATTATTCAAACATCAGGGCTTGCAATCCATCTATCCTCTTTAGATCCGCTGCTGCTGCTGCTGCTGCTTCTTCATGGAGTAAGTAAAAGGCTCCTCTACACAGTTTTCTATATGTAGTGTGGATAAGGAACACAAGCTCCTGAGAGACCCTCAATTGCAGAAGGCATGCTCAGAAATTCCAGAGAGGTCAATAACTATAATCCGAAAAATACAGCATTGTCAATGATGTCTGTTGAAGTTGATCAACTTTGCTAAGACCAGCATTCTGTTCCTTAAACTTGGTTATGCCAAGAAGCTATTTCCCTCTGGCCATTTCACTGGTTGTGTAAATCTTCAGCACACTCACCTACATAACAGGTAAATATGACTGCCCATAGATGCCACCCACCTTCTCCTGAGGTCTGCATCCTGAAGTCTCTCTTGCATCAGATAATAAATACTGAGTGGTCAGAAAAGTCATGAAGCATTTTTGCATAAGAAAAACATAAAAATATGTCATGACATTTCTGCCAACCCAATAAATAATGTCTTTATAGTATTTTGTCCCTTGAATGTGCAACCAATCTGCACACAAGAATCCATGTGATACTTCTGTTTCAACTTGTCACATCTATAATGTTATTTAAACTATTGGATTTTTGCATAGAAAAACACATAATGATTTTCCAACACCTTAATATATGTAAAACAATATAGATGACTCTCTGGTTTTAAAAAAGTAATAATATAATATAAAGCCCTCTTGATCTTTCATGGAAAGACAGGAGTCTGGATATGTGCTTGCTCATGTTTCCTGGTGATACCACAGGATTTCACTCCATCACACCTTTTGCTTTTAAGTTTAGTTGTGTATTTATATATTTGTTCAACAAAGTGCATTGCATTTTCCAAATAACGGGTTTAAAGAGCTGGGAAAAAAAAAATTCTAGAATATAAAGCGGGGGAAATATGAGCACAATTTTGCAGTTGCTTCCTAAATCTAAGTTGGCCTTATATGAAGTAGCTAGCTTTTAGATTTAATACATACATCCACACTTTACAGATGACTTTATAAAAATGAGATTAGGTAATATGTCCAAAGCCAAACTTAAGTTTTCTAAGAATTTTTTTTTTTAAAAAAGAAGATGTCTCCCCTGAGTTGACCCTATAGCTCAATGGTTAAAGGAGTCAGGTCCCACATGGCCAACCAAGGTTCAAGTCCCACGCTGGAAGCTTGGAAAATATACCAGGGGTGTACATGTCCAGAATCCTGATAGGATGGAAAACTGGTGGAAGGAGAATTGCAGTGTGACGATACCCTGCTTAGGGGTGCTTTCTCTCTCTCTCTCTCTCTCTCCTGTCCTCTCCTCTCCCCTTCTTTCTCTCTGGCCTCTGGTAAGCATGCTTCCCTTCTGGCAATTAAAAAACAGTAAGAAAGAAAAAAAGAAAGAAACAAAGAAAGAAAAAGAGAAAGAAGAAAAAGAAGGAAAGGATGAGAGGAAGAAGAAAGAAGAAGAAAGAAAGAAAAAAGGAAGAAAGACAAAAAAAGAGAAAGAAAGAAAGATATCTTCCCTACTGCTGACTCCATCATAGATATTTAATAAACCATACATGTTAAGGGTTTTCTTTTCCTTTTAGTCCAAATTCAGATCCTGGTTATCTTCCACCAAATTCTTTTGTTGAAAGTTCTGTCCATAAATGTCGCAGTGAATTGAGTATGTATGATGAAACCGACCCACTGACTGGGTCACGAGGTCAAAGATGCAGAACACTTCTGGCTCTAGTGGGTGCTCTTGACGAATGGACCCCAGCCAGGGAATTGTGCTTAAAAAGATACACCTGCCTACAGGTGGTTACTGCACTTCTATACATGGACAGCCATAAATCAGAAGGAGATAAAAGCATTTTAAACCAACAAAGCAGGCAACATTTTTGAGTAATGGAGTCTCCTTTTAGAAAACAAGAAATGTCTGTGTGAGTCCTTGTCTTTCAAACTCCAGTCTCTGTTTGGTTAAGCTATACAAACACGAGGGCTCCGACGTAAGCAAGACTTTTTCTTTTTGTATGTTGTACATAAATGTCTTTAATCTTTTGAGTTAGGAATTTATTGGTTAAGTCCTCATGAGTAAATTCAGCAAAGCTCTGAAATGGTTTTCTCTCCAAAAAGAAATAGAGCCGAGAGGAGGCTGAGAGGGGTCAGTGAGATTCAAACCAGAAAAACAAACCCCCCAAAAAAGGCATTTTCCTGGAAAATGACGGTAAGTGAAAATGTGCCTGACTTCTTTTTAAGTTTATTTACTTATTTCTCCCAGGAAAGGGGGGGGGCACTCCCATAGGGTCTTCACGCTGGGGTGTGCCCAGCCTCAGTCAGTCTGGATCGTGGGCACGTGTGTGGCACAAGCAGGGAGCCGCCTCGGGATGTGACCTGAGGACCTTCTCATACAGCTTCGCATCACAGACCATTATGTTAGGTTCTGCCATGTGCTTGGCCACCCCCTCACTTTTTTTAAAAAAAGAGTGATTTATTTACCTTTATTTATTTGTTTATTTTTAATTTGACCAGAAAGAAACAGAGAAAGGGAGAGAAGGAAAGTGAGAAAGCAAGCCTCCGGGTCCGGGAATCAAACTGTGGTCAGCCATGTGGGAGTCCAGTGCCCCAACCACTATGCCGGGTTTAAAGAGCTGGGAAAAAAAAAATTCTAGAATATAAAGCGGGGGAAATATGAGCACAATTTTGCAGTTGCTTCCTAAATCTAAGTTGGCCTTATATGAAGTAGCTAGCTTTTAGATTTAATACATACATCCACACTTTACAGATGACTTTATAAAAATGAGATTAGGTAATATGTCCAAAGCCAAACTTAAGTTTTCTAAGAATTTTTTTTTTTAAAAAAGAAGATGTCTCCCCTGAGTTGACCCTATAGCTCAATGGTTAAAGGAGTCAGGTCCCACATGGCCAACCAAGGTTCAAGTCCCACGCTGGAAGCTTGGAAAATATACCAGGGGTGTACATGTCCAGAATCCTGATAGGATGGAAAACTGGTGGAAGGAGAATTGCAGTGTGACGATACCCTGCTTAGGGGTGCTTTCTCTCTCTCTCTCTCTCTCTCCTGTCCTCTCCTCTCCCCTTCTTTCTCTCTGGCCTCTGGTAAGCATGCTTCCCTTCTGGCAATTAAAAAACAGTAAGAAAGAAAAAAAGAAAGAAACAAAGAAAGAAAAAGAGAAAGAAGAAAAAGAAGGAAAGGATGAGAGGAAGAAGAAAGAAGAAGAAAGAAAGAAAAAAGGAAGAAAGACAAAAAAAGAGAAAGAAAGAAAGATATCTTCCCTACTGCTGACTCCATCATAGATATTTAATAAACCATACATGTTAAGGGTTTTCTTTTCCTTTTAGTCCAAATTCAGATCCTGGTTATCTTCCACCAAATTCTTTTGTTGAAAGTTCTGTCCATAAATGTCGCAGTGAATTGAGTATGTATGATGAAACCGACCCACTGACTGGGTCACGAGGTCAAAGATGCAGAACACTTCTGGCTCTAGTGGGTGCTCTTGACGAATGGACCCCAGCCAGGGAATTGTGCTTAAAAAGATACACCTGCCTACAGGTGGTTACTGCACTTCTATACATGGACAGCCATAAATCAGAAGGAGATAAAAGCATTTTAAACCAACAAAGCAGGCAACATTTTTGAGTAATGGAGTCTCCTTTTAGAAAACAAGAAATGTCTGTGTGAGTCCTTGTCTTTCAAACTCCAGTCTCTGTTTGGTTAAGCTATACAAACACGAGGGCTCCGACGTAAGCAAGACTTTTTCTTTTTGTATGTTGTACATAAATGTCTTTAATCTTTTGAGTTAGGAATTTATTGGTTAAGTCCTCATGAGTAAATTCAGCAAAGCTCTGAAATGGTTTTCTCTCCAAAAAGAAATAGAGCCGAGAGGAGGCTGAGAGGGGTCAGTGAGATTCAAACCAGAAAAACAAACCCCCCAAAAAAGGCATTTTCCTGGAAAATGACGGTAAGTGAAAATGTGCCTGACTTCTTTTTAAGTTTATTTACTTATTTCTCCCAGGAAAGGGGGGGGGCACTCCCATAGGGTCTTCACGCTGGGGTGTGCCCAGCCTCAGTCAGTCTGGATCGTGGGCACGTGTGTGGCACAAGCAGGGAGCCGCCTCGGGATGTGACCTGAGGACCTTCTCATACAGCTTCGCATCACAGACCATTATGTTAGGTTCTGCCATGTGCTTGGCCACCCCCTCACTTTTTTTAAAAAAAGAGTGATTTATTTACCTTTATTTATTTGTTTATTTTTAATTTGACCAGAAAGAAACAGAGAAAGGGAGAGAAGGAAAGTGAGAAAGCAAGCCTCCGGGTCCGGGAATCAAACTGTGGTCAGCCATGTGGGAGTCCAGTGCCCCAACCACTATGCCCCCTGCCAGCCCCCGCCCCCCTCACTCAAGTCTGGAGCCCAGGGAAATGTGCCTTGGGTCAAGAGAGAGTACAGAGACTCCCCTGAGTTTATCATTTGCAAATGTAAGTTTCTTCTTGGGATTTCAACAACAAACTCACGACACCATGGCTAAACCTCGCCATTGTGTGCTGGCCACTCGCTTTGATCTTGTTTCTTTTGTCCTGTCCACAAATGCCACGGTCAAGGCCACATGATGGTCTGATGGTTCCTTCTGGGTCAGCACGCGACCTGAGATGCAGCTGAGTCTCTTCTCGCTGGCGGGATCTGAGGACAGACAGGAAGTGCCTGTGAGTCATTGGAGGACAGAGAGGGCCTGTAGAAGCGCAGGCTGATCTCCCAGCTTCATGCCCTCTCTTTTACCTGCTTGTCTGGCCCCCAGCTTCCATCCTTGCATTTGCAACGCCAGCTCCGGAGAGTCCACACAGAGCGTCTGCAGAATGTCAGCCCCACAGCAGTGTGGCCTGCCGGCTTTAACAAGAAGGCTCTCACGTTAGCACCTGACACACAGGAAAAGGCCTCCATATTGACTCCCCTGACTTGAGACTTTTTTCTGTAAACTTTGCTGTAACAAGTACCACAAACAGGGTGGTTTGAACAATGGAAATCTGATGTCTCTCCACTCTGGAGGCTGAAGTCTGAGTTCCCAGGATCAGTGAGGTTGCTTCCCCCTGAGGCAGGCTCTGGTCCATGTCCCCCCTCGCCGCTGGCACTGTGCTGGCGACCTTCTGTTCCCAGGGCCTGCCTTCCTGTTCAGATGGCTTTCTCCCCGTTCCTCGTCCATGCAGACTGGGGCCCACTCTGCAAACTCATTCCCACAAATACATCTGGGACCCTATCTCCAGCATCACCTTCCAAGGTACTGGGGTTAGGGCTCTGATGTAGGACTCAGCCCATACTGGCAGGCGTGCCAGTGTCCACATGTGTGCCCGCAGCTCAGTCACCCACCAGACAGCTCATGGGAGTAACCAAAGCACAGCACACGCATGATGGTGGGACTTGCCGCATGTGTGACCAGGGACTAGGGTGGCCAGCTGTCCCTGTCCGCCTCAGACTAGGCGGGTTCCCAGGCTGCGGAACTTTTGGTACTCACCCCATGGAACACCCTGGACAAAGAGATGAACTGGTGGTCATCCTAGGAGGGAAGTGTGTTTCTTTCTTTTTTTTTTTCTTTTAAGAGGTGTTTACTGACTTTCCAAAGCCGTCGAGGGCCACGGGCCGGTTGGGAAGTGAGAAGACTCTTTCCTTTATCAGCCCGATCTACGTTGAGAGTATGGAGCATGCAAGAGGCAAGGAGTCAAGGGAAGAGTATGGAAATTCTAAGTGTGAACAAGGGTCTGAAACTGAAGAGCAGCTGTGGGCTTCCAGTCAACCAAGCACATCTACAGGTCTATTGGCAACCTCAGCAAAGGGGAAAAAACGAAAAAAGTCTGCGAAGGATGACCAAGCTTCCTGTCCAAAGGAGAAGGCACAAAGCAATGACAGCCTACAGCCTCAGAATAAGATACCAATTCCCCCATTGCCCTCTAAACTGCCACCAGTCAACCGGCTTCACCGAGACATCCTGCGGGCTTGGTGCCAGCAATTAAAGATCAGCTCCAAAGGCCAGAAATTAGATGCATATA